CCCCCCCCCCCCTCTTTATCGCTGGCCCCGGAACCTCGCCGTGACGGTGGCCTGGACTGCCCCGCACTCGGCTGCACCTGGAGGCCAGACGCAGAGGCATGCCCGCCCCCCACCCCCCCACCCAGCGCGCGCGCCCCCCCCTCGTTCGAAAGGAGCCCCCCTCGTCTGTGGGGTGGGGGTGGGGGGAGCCCTGCTGCTGCTGCTGCTGCTGCTTCCCGGCCACTCCGCTTTGACTTCTTTTCCCACCAGCAGAAAACTGGTGACCTATGAAACGACTGTGCAGCCCTTCTGCTGGGCTTTTGAAAGGGACGTGATAAGAGGCAGTGGTGGGTGGTCATCGTGTTCACGGCGAGCGACAAGGGGAGGCCAGGTCCCCGGTGCGGATGGCGCGGGGGGAAGGCCCTCGACAGCTCTTGCCCATCCTGCAACAGTGCTGGACAGAAAAGTGCCCTTGGTGGTGAAACTGGGACCTCACCTCCAGGTTGGACTGTTGCAGAGTTGCCCCTGCAGAGGCTTCCAAAACCTCAGGCTATCCAGAATGCGGCTGCCGGGCTGTTGATCTGGCTTCCACTGGGTTTCCTAGTCAAATTCAAGGGGCTGGTTTTAATCTCTAAGCCCTACATGGTCTGGGACGGTCATTCTTTAAGGACTGCCTCTCCTGTTGCCACCCCCCACCCCTCCCGTGGTGCTTGCCTTCTGCTTCACATGGACTTCTGGTGGTGCACGGTTCTTTGGTAGCTCATTTACCTTTGACCAGAACAAGGGCTTTGTGGCCCCAGCATCTTGGAATGCTCAGTCTAGGTTTCACAGGGCCTGTAAAACAGAGTTATTCCTTCAGGCATTTTGTTATTCCATTGAGGCAATCTTACTTGGCCTGCTGTCAGCTTCTCTGATCGTCATGCCAGAGTGACAGTGTGTTAAATTGTTTTGTAGAATATTTATGTTTTGCATTTACATTGTTAACCGCCCTGAGCCCCAATTGCTGGGGGAGAGGCAGGATAAAAATACAATAAATGAATAAAATAGGCTCCTAAAGAGGTGAGGCTTTCTCAATAGTGCATGAATTCTGTACTGCAGAAGAGTGTTCATAATTATGGGCTATGACAGCGACGGGTCAACTGGGCAGAACTATTTTGCAGCAGAACAACTGTTATAAAAAGTGCCTCTTATAATGTTTCAGTTTTCTTTTGACTTCCTAGTCATGCTTAATTTAAGCAAAAGGATACAATGTTCTCCAATAAGCACTGTTGGGCTGCAATCCTATGCCTGCTTACTTCTGAATATGGATACACAGAGTTAGGTTGCATGAGTGTTTGAAGTTATTCACGTGGTTTACAGCAGCGCTAAGGTTTCTTTACTGCAGAAAGTGAGCTCAAAGCAAAGTTGGGATTTAAACCAGGGACTGCACAGCTCAAACGCTTCCTGTGTTCTGTAGTGGCTACATTTGGGTACAGACCACCTGAGTTCAAGATGAAGGGAAAGTTACTCTGTCGTAGTCAGAGGATCTTTGTCGTTTCATGTTCTAGGTATTAAAAAATGAAAGTATTCCTGTGTGGCAGAATTTAACACACACACACACACATATATATAAACAAATAACCAATGCTTGTAGAGAAAGAATTAGGAAAGCTCAGTATGAGCTTAGGCTAGCGAGAGATGCTAAAAACAACAAAAAAAGGGTTCTTTCCTTATGTTCAAAGTAAGAAAAAGAGCAAGGACATGGTAGGCCCATTGCGGGGACAGGAAAGTGAAATTGTAACAGGTGATGAAGAGAGGGCAGAACTGCTCAATTCCTACTTTCCCTCAGTCTTCTCTTGGAAGGGAAACAGTGCTCAACATGGCAAAAACAGAACACATGATGAGGGAAGGGAGTTGTAGCATAGGATTGGCATGAGGGTAGTGCATAAACACCTAGTTTCTTTAAGTGAAACTAAGTCCTTGGGGCCAGATGAGCTGCATCCAAGGGTACTAAAAGAACTTGCGGATGTAATTTCTGAGCCTCTGTCCATTATTTTTGAGAATTCTTGGAGAACAGGTGAGGTGCCGGAAGACTGGAGACCGTCCTTGAGCATTCAGAAAGGACGGCTGTGATTACTAAGAGTCAGCATGGGTTTCTCACAAACAAGTAATGTCAGACTAACCCTATCTCTTTCCTTGAAAGAGTTACTACCATGCAGGATCTGGAGAATGCTGTAGACATAGTTTATATTGATTTCAGTAAGGCTTTTGATAAGGTTCCACATAACATACTTGTTGACAAACTGGAAAAATGTAGTTTGGATCCTATGACTGTTAGGTGGATCTGTAAGTAATTGACAGATCACACCCAAAGAGTGCTTGTGAATGGTTCCTCATTCTCTTGGAGAGGAGTGACAAGTGGAGTGCCTCAAGGATCTGTCCTGGGACCTGTTTTGTTCAACATCTTTATCAACGATTTGGATGAAGGGATAGAGGGAATGCTTATTAAATTTGCAGATGATACTAAACTGAGAGGGGTAGCAAATACGGTAGAAGACAAAATCACGATACAGGCTGATCTTGACAGGCTGGAAAACTGGGCTAAAACAAATAAAATTAATTTCAATGGAGAGAAATGTAAAGTTCTGCATTTAGGTAGGAAAAATCAAGTGCATAACTATAGGTTGGGGGAGACCTGTCTTGGCAGTAGTATGTGCGAAAAGGATCTAGGGGTCTTAGTAGACCATACACTGAACATGAGTCAGCAGTGTGATGTGGTTGCTAAAAAGGCAAATGTGATTTTGGGCTGTATCAACAGAAGTATAGTGTCCAGATCACGTGAAGTGATAGTACCACTTTTCTTTGCTCTGGTTAGACCTCACCTAGAGTATTGTGTTCAGTTTTGAGCACCACAATTTAAGAAGGATATAGACAAGCTGGAACGTGTCCAGAGGAGGGCAACTTAGAAGAAGAAGAAGAGATTGGATTTATACCCCGCCCTTCACTTGGTGTCTCAGAGCGGCTTACAAACTCCTTTCCCTTCCCCTCCCCACAACAGACACCATCCCTGCTGGCAGAACTCTGACACAAACTGCTCTTTTTCAAGGACAGCCCTTTCTTACATGCCCAGGGAAATGCTGATTGCCACTTTGGGGTTAGGAAGCAACTTTTTCTGTCATCTTCTGGTCGTGGAACAGTGGTCATGTGGGTGTTGAGTGGGAGGTATTTGTGAATTTCCTGCCTTGTGCAGGGGGTTGGACTAGATGACCCTGGAGGTCCCTTCCAACTCTTTGATTCTGCCCTCATGCTGCCAGGATGCATAGAAGTTTGCAAAAGTTAGTAGCCAAAAACAGTTTTTACTAGGTTGCTTGTTTACACATATCTATGTAGGAGATTGGGAGCTGTGGTGGCTCAAGTGGTTAAGACGCTGAACTGCAGGCTGTGGAAGGTCAGTAGTTCAGCAGTTCGAGACCCGAGTGCCCCATGACGGAGTGAGCTCCCGTCTCTAGTTCCAGCTCCTGCCAACCTAGCAGTTCGAAAGCAAGAAATTGCAAGTACATAAATAGGTACCACTTTGGTGGGAAGGTAACAGCGTTCCATGCGCCTTGGTGTTTAGTCATGCAGACCACATGACCACAGAAACGTCTTTGGACAGCGCTGGCTCTTCGGCTTTGAAACGGAGATGAGCACAGCAACCCTAGAGTCGGACGTGACTGGCTTTCGAGCAAGGGAAACCTTTACCTTTTTATGTAGGAGGTTGGTGGTGCATTGATTGCATTGTAACCACAGGTGTCAAGGTACTGTGGCAGTTCTTCATGACAGCCTTTGCTAATAAATGGGATTGTTTCATAGAAGTATAGGAAATTTATTTCATGAGAACTTGAAAAGGACCTGGGAGACCAAGGTGTAGAAACCCCACTCTGTTATGAAAGTTCACTTGGAGAACTTGGGTTCTCTTTCAGCCTAACCTACCTCACAGGGTGGTGGTTGTAAATAAAATGGAGAAGGGAAATTTTTTAAAATTGCTTTGGGTCCCCCTTGGGATAAACAAACAGGCGTATTGCGAGTTGTCCTGAAGTGTCACTTCTTGTGTTTTTAGGGTCTGTTCCTGTGTCTTCAATGGAAGTCAAATGCCCTGGCCAAGGATGAAGAGCAGCCCACATAGGCCCCTGATACTCAAGAGACGGAAGCTGCCCCCCTCCCATGGGGATGCGTCTGGCACTCTGGCAGGAGAGGACTCTAGTGGGCAGGGCAATGGGTCCCTTAGCCACCAGCAAGCAAGGACAGGTGAGCACAGCACAAACAGGAAGACACCTGGAACCCCGAAGTTCCCTGCTGGGATGAAGATAATTAGCCATCCCACAATGTCAGACTCTCAGGGGGTGGCCATCCCTGCTGGCAGAAGTGTCCTGACCGTCATGGAAGCTTTGGCAGCCAAAGAAAAAGAATGGGGTAGCTCCAAGCCTAATAAATTCCTTCTTATCAGTAGTGGGAGCAGCTCTCCCACTGTGGAAGCAAGAGAATTTAACCAACGATTCAAATCTGAAGATAAGCACAGCATTTCCTGCAACAAGCTACAAGGAGAAGATAATGCTGGAGCAAGGAAAGGGCTGGCAGTCTGGGCCTCAGAACCGCAGTCTATGGAGGGACACGAGCAGGAAGGCAACAGTATGTAGATCTTTAACTTCTGCATATCCAATAAGAGTTGGAATCAAGGCCTCTCATCCAGCAGTGCAGTGGCCCATTGCAGTACTCTTGTTATGTGCCGGAACAGGAATAAAATGCTCACGTGGTGCACTGCATACCTACCTGCTGCATCTCTGTATGGTTTGGGGCATGTGTTCTTGAAATCCCCTGCCCTTGTGAATGGATAGCAATTAACCAACGATTCAAATCTGAAGATAAGCATAGCATTTCCTGCAACAAGCTACAAGAAGAAGATAATGCTGGAGCAAGCTCTGGGGCAAGGAAAGGGATGGCAGTCTGGGCCTCAGAATCGCAGTCTATGGAGGGACACGAACAGGAAGGCAACAGTATGTAGATCTTTAACTTCTGCATATCCAATAAGAGTTGGAATCAAGGCCTGTGATCCAGCAGTGCAGAGGCCCATGGCAATACTCTTGTTATGTGCCGGAAGAGGAATAAAATGCTCACGTGGTGCACTGCATACCTACCTGCTGCATCTCTGTATGGTTTGGGGCATGTGTTCTTGAAATCCCCTGCCCTTGTGAATGGATAGCAATGCAGCAACTGGATATGATCCAACTGATAAATTGATTCCTCTCTCTCTTGAGAGAGAGACTGCAGGATTACCTGCCCTTAGAAGGTCACCGGACACAAGCAGTGTGTGCAGGACACATGGCAGGGGCAGCTTCTTGGAAGGCAGATAGGTCATTCTTATACTTTCACATGTTAATTCTTATATTTCCTTATGCTTTTGGGATGTAAGTTTGGTGTTTCTCTTATTGTGATTTGGGGAAAAAATTGATGCTTCAAATCTGGGAAATAAATGTAAAACAGCTGGTCAAAGATGACACTCTTCCAGGTTCTGTGAAGTATTTCAGATCACGTAAGCAGAAGACTGAGATTTTTAGTCTCTTGTATTTGTCTGTTGTACCAAAATAAAACAAAATCCAGTGGCACCACTTATATACCCATCTGACAAAGTGGGCTGCAATGCTTCGAGCTCATATGGAAATAAACAGTGCCCTTGGACTTTTGTTTTGTCTCATATATTCATGCACACAGATGAAGCACCACTCAAAGCACACTGTGTGTGCGAGTACCCGTTACAGCACAATTGTGGCTCCTCACAAGCATGCAGCCCAGAACTTATCATTCTGGCAGCCAGTCAACACGGCCACAGCAGTGGCACCTCCTCCATCTTGTGTGTGTTCCCCAAAGGAAGCCTGCCTAGTCCTGGAGTGACCGTTTTTCTTCTGCAAAGAAAGCTGCAGCCTGGAAGAACGAATCTGCCAGTGAGACACTTTCCAGTACTACTTCCTCCTCACATTTCTGCTCTTCAAAAGTCTCCCAGACAAGTGTTATATAATTCCCTTTACATAGTTTTCCATTTAAAATAGTTTGAAACTTCATAGTTTACAAAATATTTTTTCTAAAACAATGAAAGACTGAGCCCTGCAGTATCACTGAACTTCTGTTGCTTAAACTGCAAAGGAACATCAAAAGTCCATGCGACAGTTACCTCGAGGCTAGACTACTGCAACGCTCTCTACATGGGGCTGCCTTTGTCGCAAATTCAGAGGCTGCAGCTGGTGCAGAATGCGGCGGCCAGGCTGGTTGTTGGTGCCTCTAAAGGGGACCACATTCAGCCTGTGCTGAAAGCGCTGCACTGGCTGCCTATAGCATTCCGGATTCTCTTCAAAGTGCTGGTGCTTACCTTTAAAGCCCTACATGGCCGGGGTCCGGCATACCTGAGGGACCGTCTTTCCCCATATAGGCCCCAAAGAGCACTTCGGTTGGGGTCACTACACCGCCTAGTGACCCCAGGCCCTAAAGAGGCCAGGGACCATAGCTTCCCCCTCTCTGACTCAATGTGATGTACAATAGGGAGCGAGTATGTTAGTCGCGGTAGATTTCTGGGAGTTGCCCACTGTAATTAATTATTTTTAATTGTTTTAACCGTATTTTATTGCACTGCGTGCCTTATTTGTGTAACTGTGGTGTTGTATTACACCTATGTCTTGTAAGCCGCCCTGAGCCCGCATGCGGGGAGGGCGGGATATAAATTCAAATAAATAAATAAATAATAAAGTATGCTTGAGGTGAGTGCACATGTTGCCCAAAATGGAATTCCTACACCTCAGTAATCATAAACCGCTGTAGCTCAGCCATTTGTTGCTGGGATTTACTTGGTGAGATCTCTGAGCCTTTTAAGAGGGGCCCTGGCTCAGTGGGAGATCACATGCTTTGCGTGCAGAAAATCCTGAGCAGGCCTTAGATCATGAGCGAAATGGCGTGTCGGGGCCAATATTAAATGTAGCACAAGGGAGACAAAAGGACTCTTGTGTGGGCCTCCAGTCTTGTTTAAACTGACCAGTCATCTGCATAAAGCCATTCTGCGGGCATAATTACAGGCCCAGCTCGGTCCCTACCTGGGCTAAACAGGTGTAGCTGTTTTGCAGGGCAGCAGCCCCTTGAAATGGGGTTATGTGCCAAGCCCAAAGACCACAGGTGAATTCCTTCTCCCTGTAGACAGAAAGGTGAGGGGAGAGTGCTTGCAAATTCAGTTAGTCTAATCAGCCTTTTATCTTTTGGGACAAGGCTTGAAACTGAAGAAAGCATGTAATTTGGACAGGATGTTTCATAGAGTCACAATAGTTAGGACTGCCAGCCTTTTTGGACATTAGGTTAAACTTTGCAACACTAAAACAGCTCACTGTTTCATAACATACCATTAAACACATTGTAGCATCTTATAATCATTGTTACAATTATTTACTTTAAACAAAACTTGAAATTTTGTATATGCCTAGAAGTGTAATTTCCCCCCCTCAGCTTCCGGAACTTCTCACATTTTCCATTGAAAATTTTGAAGAAGTCCTGAGACTTTTCATGCTGTGCACTTGGAATGACTGAAGTGTTTTGTTAGACAAGTTTTTTCTCACTCAAAAAGGGAACGTATTTTGTAGGAGTTTTTTTCAGTGCTTCCCAAAACCTCCCAGTTTTTTCACTCAAACCTTTGTCATGATATACTTTTTATGTGTGAAAAACCTTGCCTTGAGAAGCATTTTGTTCATTCTAAAAGAGGAAATATTTCATAGGAAGCTTTTTTTTTTTAGTGCTGCCCTCAAATTTCCCATTTTTCCCCCAGGCCTTCATATCTCTGTGTGTGGATCACATTTTTCATAGTTTTCCAGGTTTTTCTGTCCTGTTAATAGTTTCTCTCTGCTCTTAGTGTGGGGTAATATTCGTATGTTGGATTAGTGGTCCCCCCCCCGTGCATGTTTTCCGCGATGGAAGGAGCCCTTCTGGCACCAGGAGTGACACCCCCCCCCCCGAGCGTGGCTCCTCCCCCCAGAGGAGGCGGGGCCTGGAGCCGGCCACATGATGGGCAGCAGCTCTGCCTGCTTCCTGTTGTGAGCCGCTCTGCGAATGTTTGTGCTGTAGCAGTGGTGTTTCATTCTGTGTGCATCTGCTCATTTATGCTTTGTTTTTGCTGTGCCAAGTTTTGGCATCAGACAGTTTGGAAACCCTGATTAAATTATGTTTCGTTTACTAAATTATGTTTAGTAAGGTTGCCTTTTGCTTTGTTTTTTGTTACTGGCCCTGCCCCTGGACTCACGTGCAGAAATGATGCAGGAGAAGCTTTCAGGCACGTGGATGTGAGTTGCAGGGAATGCTTCACCTACCCGATTTCTTTGTTGTAGGAACAAGGGGCCACTTAGAAAGCTGGGCCTGCCTTCACTGTGAAGGATGTGGCATCACTGGGTGAACAAGTGAAGCACAGGGTTTTTTTAAGGTGCTTCTCCATGATTTCTTATGTCACATGGTGCTGGCCAACATCTTGTTTGAGTCTCTGCCTCTGCCTTCTCTTGGGGCTCTGGGGTGGCATAATGAGACCTGTGATTTTGTCGTCGTCCCCCCAGGCAGTAGGGAAGCTCCAAGTTGCGAACTGGACAACAGTCTGACCAACATCCAGTGGCTAGGCAAGATGAGCTCAGACGGCCTGAGCCCCTGCAGTGCAAAAACAGGGATGCAGAAGGAGAACCAGACACCCAAGCAGGAAGCGGCTGTCAAGGTAAGCAGAGGGAGGTGGGCAGGCAGTCATCCTACACCTCCTTCCAGTGTTCGGAGCTCAAAGGCACAAGGGGTCGTTAACAAACGTCTGAGTATCAGGAAAACAATCCCTACAGTGAGCAGTCTTGATGCATTGCATGTGATTAGATAATGGGATGCTCGCCAATCATCCTCTGTTCAATTGGTTATACAAAAATTACAATGAGAGGAAATGTCTAAAAGCTGAGAAAGAGATCTAATGTCAGACTCCTGCCGCAATCAGTTCCCAACAACTTTCATGCGAAGAAGTAAAGTTTATTGAGACATTGAAGTATGCAGATTATCTTTACACATCTGTGATAGAACTAGCAAGAAGCGTGCAGAGCAAGCAGATATACATAGTCCAAGAGGGTCCCCTGATGGCCTGGAGCCAATCAAGGAGCAGGTAGAAGCCTGTCAAAGTTAACAGGTCTGTTTTCCCGAGAGAGAGCTGATGCTAGACACCAGGGCCAAACGCTCATGTTACAGAGATAAAAAAGCACTGAAGGCACAGAGAGAGGAAACCTGACATTCCAGAGGCACCCCTTCACGCCATAGCAGCCAGAGGCCTAGCTGACATACCGCCCCCCCCCTCAAGATCTCACCCACCAGGTTTATTGGATTACATTCTGTGAAAACTGTGTATTAGCTTAGGAGCTTGTACAGGACAGTCTTTCACCCGTTTGTTGTGGGAGGGGTCAAAGTCCTTCCATTGAATAAGATAATACAGACTACCGCACTTAAGTTTAGAGTCCAAAATTTGAGCTCACCATTCCGCATCAGAGGAGGAGGGGCTGGAGGTCAAGGTCTCCACTTGTTTGGACCCAGGTCCCTCTTTAACAGACTGAAATGAAAAACAGGAACTTTGAGTGATTTAGGCAACTCAAGTCAACAGTCACATCATTGATTTTGCACAACACTTTAAAAGGCCCAATATACTTCCAGCCCAATTTCCTTTGTGGCTGGAGGCCTTTTAAGTTCTTAGTCGAAAGGTACACCGTGTCTCCTGGCTGCAAATCCCATTCAGGAGCCCTGCCTTTGTCAGCCTGAGTTGTGTAATCCGCTGTAGCCTTGTCCAAAGTCTTTTGAATAGTAGACCAGTGGTCACTCAGACCCTGCCACCAAGTGTGGAGATCTCCGGGGGGGGGGGTCGGGAGTCCCCATCATGGGAAGAGGGGCCCCCTCATAGCCATGCAAGGCCTTAAAGGGAGACAGTCTGGTGGAACTGTGAACAGAATTGTTATAACTGTATTCAGCGTAAGGTAACATTTCGACACAATCATCCTGTTGATAGTTAGTAAAGCACCTAAGGAATTGTTCCACCACCTGATTGACCTGTTCGGTCTGGCCGTTAGTCTCAGGGTGGTGAGTGCTGCTGAGGCCCCTTTCAATGCCAAGAACCTGCAGGAGCTCCTTCCAGAACTTAGCAATGAATTGAGTCCCTCTGTTGGATATTATTTTGGCAGGAACTGAATGCAACTTCACAATGTGATGCATGAACAACCTAGCCAGGGCCTTGGCCGTGGGCAGCTGCTTACAAGGGAAGAAATGCACTTGTTTGGAAAACAGGTCTACAACCACCCAGATTACTGTCCTCCCCTTGCTGGGGGGTAAGTCTGTTGTAAAGTCCACAGAAATAACCTCCCAAGGTCTGCTAGGCATCTCTAGGGGCTGGAGCGTCCTGGGTGGCTTTCCCAGCATTCGTTTGCTCATCAAGCATGTCTGACGCAACCCCACATATTGAGAGATATCAGTCCTCATGCAGGGCCACCAGAACAGCCGTTGGGACAGATGGAGGGTTTTTAAATAGCTGAAATGTCCAGCCAGCCTGGATTCGTGCCCAAAATGCAGAACTTCCCCGCAGAGGGCCTTTGGCACAAACAGTTTGCCCCCAATTGCACCCATTTGTTCCCAATTGAATGGAGGGTTTCTTAGAGGTTTCTTCCCTGTCAGCGTCTGTGAAAGCTGCTTTTAATTTTGCAATCCATGGCTCGCCCCCCCTCCCTGGCCTCTAACTTTGCCTGGCTGTGCGTCATTACTGCTCCTCCCAACTGGGAGGGTGTGAACATGGAATCCCTCCTCCCTCTGACTAGCATGTTGGGGGAGGTGTGATAAGACATCAGCCAAGGAATTGGCCTTTCCCGGGAAGTGCTGGAGGGTGAAACGAAACATAGAGAAAAACTCCACCCATCTGAGTTGTTTGGCGTTTAGGTTTGTGGGGTACGCAAGGCTTCCAGATTCTTATGGTTAGTCCAGACCTCGAAAGGCACCCTTGCCCCCTCCAACCAATGCCACCAAGTAGTTAGGGCCAACTTAACGGCCACGGCTTTTTTGTGCCATACCACCCAGTTCCGTTCAGTAGCACTGAATGTTTTTGAAACGTATGCTAGTGGATGCAGTTTCCCATCCTTCCTCTGTTGCAAGATCGCCCCCCCCCCATGGCAACGTTTGGAGGCATCTACTTGAAATACAAATTTCTTATTCTCGTCCGGGTGGTGTAAAATCGGCTCAGAAGTGAACAGTTCCTTTAGCGTATCAAAAGCCCCTTGGCATTCAGCCGTCCACTCCAAGCAAGCACTGGGTTTGGAACTGTCTTGTCCCTCCTGTTAGTTTTTAACAAGTCAGTGAGGGGTGTCATGCCTGCCCCCGACCCGGTGCCTGGGAGCTCTGAAACTGAGGACTCCGTGCCTTTAACACCATCGGAGGCATGGGAGTCTTTGTCAAACCTAAGTGCCAGAAAGGCACTTTGTCAAACCTAAGTGCCGCCCTGGGCCGTATGGGTAGGGCGGGATATAAATCCCAAAATAAAATAAATAAATAAAGGATGAGCACCAGCCTCCAGAACAGCCTGCACCTGAAACCGATCAGGCAGTGCCTGGCCCCAGCAGCACACCACCCGATTCTCCGCCACCTGTCGACCGGCCGAGGGATCGGAGACGCCGGGACTTGGCAACCAGACGCAAAGAGGCACGCTTGCGCGGTTGGAGATGAATAAGCCCGGAGTTCTAGTGAGATCAAGGACTTTGCGAGGCAGTGCTAATAAGGCACTAATGAGTTAACAACCCAGTTAACTATTTGAATAGGTCGCTGACTGCTGGCTAATCGTGCTGGCAAACTCGTCCTTCAGACCAGAAGTTCTGCACCTCTGACTGTTCCTGGTATCCGGCTACTGACTGACTTCCTGGTTCCTGACTCCAGTCCGCGTTTTGACGACCCCCTGGCTCTTGATCTTTGGCTCTGCACCCTGACTTCGACGCTTGCCTATCTGGACTCTGACTCTCAGTAACGCTCTGACTACAGCCTGGTTTTATGCATTGGGACTTTTGCTCTGGTTGTTTTGCTCTCTCTCTGGCTTGACTCTCGGACTGGACTGTGAACTCCCCCTCTCTGCCTTGCCCCACTGGCCCTGTCGTGACAAGGGGCAGGCTTACTTGGGCGAAATTGCAGATGAATGGGTGGTAAAAATTAGTGAAGCCTAAGAATTATTAAAGCTGTCGCCTAGTACAGGGGGCTTCCCACCCCAGCACATCAGCCACCTTGTACAGGTCCATTTCCAACCCCTTCTGGGAAATGCAGTAGCCCAGAAAGTCTACCTCCTCTTTGTGGAACTTACATGTAGACAGCTTGGCAAATAACTTGTGTTCATAGAGGGTCTCGAGTACCTCCCTCACCAATGTCACATGTGTGTCCCTGTTTTCGGAATATAAAAGAATGTCATCCAGGTAAACCGGAGCCCCATTGAACAGGTGCTTGTGGCACGTTCATTACATTTTGGATCAGAGAAGTGCAGGGTTCCTGAGCTCCACTGTATACACGGGTCAAGGTCCCGGAGCCAGAGTCGGCTCACCTCCTAGGCGAGCTAGACACTCGCCTAGATTGCGGTGGCCCTTAAGGGGGCCAAACAGGACCCGCCCCCCACCAAAAGCCCTGGCTGCCCTGACGAGCCCTTCCTGCTACTCAGCCCAGCCTGGCGCCGCCTTCCGGTGCTTCCCGGTCAACCGCAGCAGCAGCCCCTCCCTGCCACCCAGGGTCGGCAGCCATTGGGCTCCAGGGCAGAAGGGCAGTCTCTGCTGCCGGAAGGAGCGCCCCCTCCCTGTGGGCAGAGCAGGGCAGGGGAACCACCAGACGCCATGGCCGCCCTTGGGTCCGGGCAGCAGGGCTCGGTCACCGAAGGAGGGAGGGAGGGCTGGCCTCACGGATGCTGCTGCTGCCGCCACCTGGCAAAGAGAGCTGCTCATCCCTGCCGTCAAAGCCGGGAGTCTTGCAGCCTCTCCGCCCGTGCCCCCTCCCTTACCTGGCTGCTTTGGGGTGCCTGGTCAGCATCTTGCGGCGCCTCTGCTAAGCGGGGGCCGAGGGAGCATGCCGGGGTCCCCTGGACAAGCTCGCCTGGGGGGGCAGCACCATAAGCTTAGGGCACAAAAAAATCTCGGGCCGGCCCTGCCAAGGGTTTCCTAGCACCATAGAGAATCTGGCCATTGGATTGATTACCAGGACCCTTTGTTCCCAGTGGGAACATGTTTCCAGGATCACTGGGACAGGCTGATCTTTCATCGTAGAGCCATCCTAGCTGACACCTAAAATAAGACAACCTAAGTATTAGACTGGTACGTGGATCAAAGAGAGGGACAGTGTGGTATAGCGTTTAGAGTGCTGGACTAGGATTGGCCCAGGTTTGGGGACCCCACCCCAATGGAAGAAGAAGAAGAGAAGAGATTTATACCCCGCCCTTCACTACCCAAAGGTGTCTCAGAGCGGCTTACAAATGCCTTTCCCTTTCCCTTCCCACAACAGGCACCCTGGGAGGTAGGTGGGGCTGAGAGAGCTCTGAGAGAACTGTCCTTGAGAGAACCGCTCTTTTTTCTGACAGAACTATGGCTTGCCCAAGGCCATCCAGCCAGGTGCAAGTGGAGGAGTGGGGAATCAAACCTGGTTCTCCCAGATTAGAATCTGCGCACCTAACCATGACACCAAACTGGCTCTCTGGGTGACCGTGGGCCAGTCATATACTCAGTCTAAACTACCTCACAGGGTTGTTGTGAGGGTAAAATGGAGGAGAAGAAAATGACATGAGCCATTTTGAGTCCCCACTGGGGAGAAAGGCAGCGTATGACTGATAAACAACATCTGTTTCCACCAAGTTTGCAGTACACTCCTAAGCAGAGGAGCCCTCTTCTAAGTCCCTGAACTCCAGTGGACTTAGAAAGGTATAATTGCGCTTATAATTATGTTGTTGCAATGCAATCCTGTGAATGTCTACTTGGAAGTAAAGTCCATTTGGTTAATCCCTAAGAAACATGCATAGGATTGCGTCCTTAGTCAGTTGTAGAAAACTTAACACCCCACACACATCACCCATCTAGTCTGGCCTAAACTGGGAGAGTGGATTTTGGGTTCCTTCCAGACTTACTGCCTTTGTTTGTTTATTTATTTATTTAATTAATTCCATTTATACCCCGCCCTCCCTGCGTACGGGCTTTGATTTTGGGTTCCTTCCAGACTTACTGCCTTCTTTTAGCAAGATCAGTTACAATTGCTGAATGACTGGTCTTTGTTGTTTGTTTTCTCTTGATTAGATCTGAATACCAATGACCCGGTGCCTCTCCAGGTTTTTTGCCCTCTGACTCTTAAGTTTCACAGCCTCTTGACTCTGCAGTTTTTCCCAGCTCATCCTCTCACATAAAGTGTTTGTAAGTGGAGATATGCTCATTGGCACAGGGCAAAGTGGGCTCTGTAAGGGAACCTGAGTCTTCTGCACCGGGCATCCGTATTTACTAATTCGTGGCGCTTGTATGCTGCTTTTCTCCCTTGTCTCCTGGTTCCACTTGATGTCAAGACACGGGTGACAGCTTCCTCCTCCCCAGCTCATGTCCTTGTTGTGCATTGGCTCTTGTTTTAAACCAGTGGTGTCAAACATGCGGCCCGGGAGCTGGATCAGGCCTGTAGTGGAACTGGCTGTCTTCTGCTTCTTCCAGTTCTGCTGCTGCTGCATCATCGTAGGTTTGCAGCTTACAGATACACACATGAACAGCCTACTGAAGATTGCAACAGCACAGACATTTTTATGCAGTAATTCAGAGCAAGAGGTGTCATTTATCACTTTTAAATAAACAAAATATTGCAAGAGTGCTAATGTTATAAGCATGTTTTTATTTTAATTTTTAAAAACCAATTGTGTTTGTGTCCTTTATAAAGTTTATCTCTCTGCTACTTGGCGTTACATTTTATGACACACATGGCCCGGCCCAACAAGGTCTCATGTATGTCAGATCCGGCCCTCATAACAAATGAGTTCAACACCTCTGCTTTAAATAGTTGATTATAATTGCTAGAATTGTTTTTAAATTCTTCAAGCAGAGAGCTCACAGCAGTGTACACTGTCCTGGTCCTTGACAATAACTCTATGGAACAGTGACTGGCCCAGGCTCACCTGGTGGGGTACCTGACTTAGTGGGGTTCGGCACTCTGTCCACTGTACAGCATTGACTCTGTGGTTTCACAACCACAGTAATGATTTAAGATGGAGATGTTGCGATTAATATGACCCTGTTTCCCCCCCTCTTTCAACCAATACTTCAATATTTAACTAGTCAAATGACCAGCTAGAAAGTCTCATTTCTTCAACCTTCGATGGACCCTGCACCTTTCATATGCTTCCCTTCCCTTCTGCTCAGCAGACTGAGAAAGGTGCTGCGCCTTCCTCCTCCACTGCCTCATGGCAGGCGTCTTTCACTGAGCGGCCACCGTATTCCTATATGGCCATGATCCAGTTTGCCATCAACAGCACTGAGAAGAAGTGCATGACGCTGAAAGACATCTACACTTGGATCGAGGACCATTTCCCTTACTTTAAGCATGTGGCAAAGCCAGGCTGGAAGGTAACAAACCTGTGTTATGAAATGTGAGGGGAGGGGCTTATCTATTGATGTTACAGTTGTCCAGTGACAGGTGTGTATCTGTCAAGTGGCCCTAGTTTCATGCTAGTGAATCTGGAGAGGCAAAAACTACCCTGACCGTTGTGTGGCCAATGCGCAATAAGAAATGGGGGCTGCCTGGTGATGAATCCTTTCTCCCAGCATGCTCTGGCTATATCAGTGTTTGGACAGGTGGGGATGAATGATAGGTTGGTGTTTGAGAACTAAAGGTTGGTGGTTCTGCAAGGACTGCAGCGTCCAGGGATATTTTGCGTTATAACTCTATCAGTGATGAGTGGATCTTCTTGTCTGATATTGTCTCAAATGCAGTTATTTCTCAGTTCATACGATCAAGTGCTGAACTCTCAAAGGAAGGAGATGCATGTCTGAACCAGCCCTTTCATATTAATGGATCGAGGGCTGATTTTGGTTTAATTCACATAAAGTGCAGAGGGACGGGTAAGGATTCTAGCTTTTCTAGATATGCTTTTTGTTTGTTTGTTTGTTTTCAGAGATTGTTTTTCTAGAAGGAGGCATTCAGCTTCATTCCCCCATGCTGAGTTGTGCAGAGTCTATAACAGTCGTACCTTTACCATATCCTGGTTCTGAGTTAGGCTGTAGATGCATAAAAGGCATTTGCGAGTGTCCTTCGTTTCATATGAACAGTCTGCCTTTTTTTATAACTGAAAACTATAAAGGTTTCTCCCTTCCGATTCAGAACTCCATACGGCACAATCTTTCCCTTCATGACATGTTTGTACGGGAGACACCTGCCAGCAGCAAAATCTCCTTCTGGACTATTCACCCTGAAGCAAATCGCTACCTTACCCTGGACCAGGTGTTTAAGGTGAGCATGTTCCAAGGAGGGAAGGTGGTCACCAGTGTTCCCTCTAAGCTGAGTTGGTGTGAGCTAGCTCAAAGTTTTTTAGCCTCTGGCTCACACATTTTTGTCTCAGCTCAGGAAGGAGAGCTCCAGAGCAAACTAATTTATGCAGCAGCCAAATCACTCGCTCACAACATTAATGCCAGGAGCTCACAAAGTAGAATTTTTGCTCACAAGACTCCACAGCTTAGAGGGAACATTGGTGGTCACCTCCCCATTCCCACACTTTGAAGTATTTTGCTGTTTCAGTTTTAAGAAGGTGAGGCACGTTGGTGTGGAGCTGAACTCATAGTTCTGAAAAACCATAAAATAAACTTGCAAAAATCGGTGATAATGTCCTGCTAAAAGATAAAGATGGATAGCTGTGTTAGTCCGTTTGTAGCAGTAGAAAAGAGCAAGAGCCCAGTAGCACCTCCTTAAAGACTTAACATTTGTCGCAGGGGATGAACTTTCACTGAAGTGAGCCGTGACTCATGAAAGCTCCTCCCCTGCCAAAATTTTTTGTTAGTCTTTAAGGTGCTCCTGGACTCTTGCTCTTTCCTACTGTCCTGGAAAAGACTTTGCATATGTAGCTTCAGGTAGAGACACAGGGTAGACCATTTTCTATATCGAAACATGCATTGCTTCTATTGAATGAATACAATGTCAATCAAGTTGAGCACTTTCAATCTTGTCAT